TACCCCAATGCTGCGAACATGACCAGGAAAGGTCACAGAACAATCTGGTAGATGTTCACCCCGAGCGCTCAGGACGGTGTCCGGGCTGACGGATCGTCTCTATGCAAGGGGGCAAGAAAGGATATTGAGGTGTCCGTCGCTCCACCTCAGCCACCCCTCTTCGCCCCAGCAAGGTCGTTCATAGCTTTCTGCACCTCCAGCCTCTCCATCACGGCGCGATGCAAGCTCGATTTATTCTTATTTTTCCCTTTCGTCAGTGTCGCTACCGGTTCGTCAGTTGTATCGAGAGATGTCGAGGCAACGGTGGGGGCGGCACTGCTTTCGGCGGGTGCATCTTTTGTGGTGAGGTGCGAGGGAACGATAATAGGCAGTTGGCGAGGGGGTGGAGGCCACTACGAATTTGCTGTTAACGGAGTCGGCATAAACATCAGAGGAGCTACCCACGCCTCGGTTAGGTTGATTGAAGTGAAGAGCCGCCCAAGGAGGATATTCTTTCTCGAGCTGTATGATATGATTTTCCAGGAACTGAAGGCGCGAAAGCAAGGTACGTGGTGGTGCAGGGACTGCATGCTAGTTCAATAAAGGAAGTGTCTCTGGCGGTGGGGCGAGACATACCATAGCGTACTGCAAGATGCGCTTCAATGTTCTTGAACCTCTCGTCGATCGCAGGCTGATGTGCGATTGGTGTGTCGTCTGTGAGAGCCACCGACGTCTCCTTGTCCTGCGTCTCCTTCCCGACCGTTCCCTTCACAGTCCTCCTTAAGGGGCCGTCTTCGTTCTTTGCAATATCGTATTTCATCTGGGAATCCCTAACAAGGTGCTTCGCGTCTGTTCTAGCGCAAGACGGAATAGGGTCGGTACTTTCGGGGTCAAGGCCAAGTCGACGTCGTTTCTGTGCTAACGACTCCAAAAATTCAGCGCGGTTCGACGCGTCGTTCTTTGCACGATTTTGTGCGAGGAACTGTGATACGGATTTCGTGATCTTTGAACGTGTTTTCAGGACAGAGCGGCAACGAGAGAGAGGCTCTGCGGGCTTACAGTAGATTGGGACTGAGGTTCTGCACCGGTGCTCAGATGAATGTAGTCGAGCTTTCGTTCTTCCAGGGGACGCTCCTTCGGCTCTTCCTCTTCCTTGAACTTCCCAAGTGTCTGCGCCGTTGAAATGAGATCAAGTCCAAGGTCTCGTACGGGAAGTGATTTTCGTGCGCACCATAAGATCCCGCACCAAGTCGCCAATCGCCCCAGGAACACTCTTTCTCTCCCAATCCGCATTCAAAACGACCATGTCATCCTCGAATCCCCTCAAGGCCTGCGTCAACCCCACTTTCTTCAAAAACACACGTATGACCTCGTCCCAGTGTCTATACACGGGCTCAGGCGTCGGCGTGCGCGGTTTTGGCGGCAGTTTTGGGCGCTGACGGGCAGCTGGTTGGGGTTGGTACGATTGGTACTGTGCGTATGGAATCTGAGCGTAGTGAGTCTGCTGATAGGGAGAGCTCCCGGATGTAGCGTATGGGTAGCCGGAGAGCTGCCAGGCGTTCTGCCAGGTCCCGGGTGGGTAGCCCATCGTGTAGTAGGCTTGGGCTGGGGTCTGCTGGCCTTGTGTCTGGCTTTGAGGTTGGGGTTGTTGAGGGATGTGAGCTTGGGCATAATGCACGGGTTGTTGTTGAGGAGGTTGGGAGGGACCAGCCTGAGCGAGCGGTTGCACGGAGGTGTAGTACTGTTGTCGTTGGGGTGCCGTTTCCGACGTGGTAGATGTCGCAACAGACGGTGGTGGTTCGTTCGTCATTTTGTCGGATCATGAAGGTGTGAAAGTGCCCAAGTCATCGTCGCTTCGGATGACGGAAGTTGTACCATATGATGACTACCTCCACCGACTAATTCTACGTACTGGAGCATACAATAGACGCGCATCTGCATCAACAGCAAAAGAAACCAATATGAATCGATGATCAGACCTCAGCCAAAATATGGACTAGAATATCCTTCACTGTATCCCTTTTCCACATGCTCTCAGCCTTGGGGTCCTGAAGCTCACCCGCCCTACTCACCGCCCCACACACCGCACTACTCAATACTTCATCGAAAGGCGAATCCCTCACTCGAACTCGATGTGACACGACCCTAGGGAATATTCTCGCGATATCTACCTCGGATACGTCCAATTCGAGGGGTTCCTCTTCTCCCGTCAAATGACCGACGAAACTACGACGTACGCTCGACCGAGCGGAAGGTTCGTACACTTCCGGAACATCGATTTCCTCCAAGAGCGCATCCGAGGATATGCTCGCCATGCTGAGGTGCGAATGCGAGTAGTGGCGATCGGTGGAGCTACCATCGACCTCACTTGGCATTGGCGCACCGTTGGCAGCCTCCTTGAGGAGCTCGGCGCCTGTGCGGTCGATGCCAAGCACACGGGTCGCACGCACGAGAGCCTCTGCATCCTGGCGTGCACGTGTCGTAAGCATCATCCCATCCAACGGCCCATAATGTCGCGTAGCAGTGAACAGATCAGCTAGATAGATATTGAGCGGGGGCCTTATGCGAGCTTGCGCAGTGCAGAGATCTTTGAGTTGACGAAGGAGAGCGGTGGGGA